CAACAACAACAACAACAACAGGTTAGCCTTTCACTGCTGGTTCTGGTTCTGGTTTATATACTGTTAGTTAGTTTAGTCCAGTGGTTCCCAACATAGGGCTCGGGCCCTCCAGAGGGTCGTTAATAGAAGAGGAAAGAAGAAAAAACTCATTTCTGATACAAACGTTTTTGTTCATGTTTTAAAAACTTTTCTCTAATCTTTGTTTTTTTTAAATAATTTTCAATTAATTAACAAAGGGAGCGGGTCCTCTTCTGGTGGCGGAGTCCGCCATGTTTGTACGGTAGCCCAGAGCAGACAAACCAAAGACTGACTGCAGATCGGGACACAGTGTAGACGAGGGGTCTTCAGTTGGTTCCTCCTCACTTTAATGATGTGTTTATATTTTATATCAGGATGTGTTTAGTAAGAAAATGTAAAATCTTAATCTGAAAAGTAACTAAAGCTAAATCACATTAACAGTAAAAAATACAACATTTCTCTCTAAAATGCTGTAAAGTGGAAATATAAATATATATTTATTACTTAAAACACAAAATTCACATTACGTCAAACAGTTTTAAGAGTTTATGCACCAACGATCACATAAATATATAAATATATAATATATACATAAATACGGAGTCTTAGTCGTTTATCTACATAATATTATAATAAAGTGTTTATCTCCTGTTTATGAACCGAGTTATGAGTCAAAAATAAACTAAACTTTTGTCTTTTAAACTCATTTAACATTCATACAAACTCAGCTACAAGTCAAATGTTAATCAATTTAAGTATAAAGCTGCCAAGAACCAGAAATATTAAAAAATACTGTGAAACCAGATAAAGTTAATTTTAAAAAGTCAAACTAAATTAAAGAAAGTAGTAATTTTAAGTAAGAATGATTTTAATTTTGTGATTTTTATTTGTAAAAAATATCAAAATGAACAAATGTTCATGTTCAGCTTTTTTAACCTAAAAAATTCTGTTACTTAAAAAAGTTTACGTGATCAGACATTTTATTTATTTAATGACCTCATTTGGTTTTTGGAGACAAACATTTAGTGATTATGATTGAAAGTGTTGTTATAGGTTAATTAAAAACCTATAACAACTATAACAGTGTGTTTTCCACGAGGTTGAACTTTATAAATAAAGTTACTAAGAATAAACTGACAGGCTCGTGTTTATCATTGTTGTCATTCACAGTCGGGCGCTGAAAACATTTCTGGGAGTCGTGTCGTTATGTAACACGCAGCGAGTGCGTCACACAGCGGCGGGTAAACAAGACACGTGTCGTCACCGCCCCCTCCGGGTTCCACGGGCCTTCCGTCCAGTCTCCGTCACGCCGTTTCCTCCCCACGCTGACGCGGCTCGGACAGCAGCTGGGTTCCTTATATGGAGCCAAAACATGGAGGAGTTTAACCCTTCAGACTCATTCTGCTGCTCACATAAACAAACTGTAACATGGATAACGGTAATATTCCTGCAACAAAAATACTGTAAAATAACTGATTCGTAAAAATACAGTAATTTTCTGTAATTGAAATACATTTTTTAGCTTTAATTTGACATAAAATCTTAAATTTTTTGTCTTTTTAGTGTTTAATTAAAGATATTTACAGTGTAAAACTATGATCTATAAATCCAGGTGAACTGTAATACAAATCAGGCCTGGCTCTAACTAATTTGGCGCCCTAAGCAAGATTTTAGGTGGCGCCCCCCTCGCATCGCAGTGAATTCCACTGCCTGTTATATACATACATATACTCACACACTGAACAGCTTTGTCTTTGACATTTTATTTTATTTTTAGAGAAGTTGCTCAATTAAAACAGTTAACAGAAAAATAATAAATTAAAAAAATAATACAATAAATGAAATATAAATAGCCCACACAAAGTATAAAATTTAACTACCTACAAAATAAAAACTGTAAACAAGTGATAAAATAAAGGAGGATCACTTGATGCTGTTGAAGCGGTGATGACTGTAGATGGCCCAGGATTT